ACCTCGAAGGGATGGCGCATTTTCCCCGGCCGACAATCGCCCCATCAATTGTTGGAGAGATTCAATAAATCTTGAAGCAATTTTACGATGCACACAGTACGTACTGCAGTACTCGATATCAATTTTAATCAGCGGTTTCCAATGTTGATTCGTTCCTCTAGTTTCACTCCACGGTTGTGCATTTAGTTTGAATAGTGACGCACGCAATGAATACGATATTCATACGGCTCTATTTTGTATCGAACAGTCGACGAGTGACAATGGAAAATGTTTACCAACGCGCATTTCTCTACTGAATATCCTGTGCGTAATGCGACTCTCCTGTCCGCAATGTACATGTATTTACACAATCTACCCATCAATCTCCTTTTTCTTTATTTTTTTTTTGTTTGCATTTCGCCGCCAACTGTATGTTTGTCTTGACGTAAATAACTCAACAGGGGGAAAAGGTCCGTTGAAGTTTTATTTATCGTTTCATCAGGAATCGGTGGGTGATGCTGGAGCACCAGCATAAGCGAGAAATGGAAAAGATATAAAAGTGGAATACGGTGTTGGAGAACGCGTTCGAACAAAGAGCTTTCATCAGTGAGCTTTTCCACATTGTGCTGAATTTTATGCATAGGTGAGAGGGTTTTTGTGTTGTGTTTAAAAAAATATTTGTTGGCAGTTCCGTGCTTAATCTCACAACCATTCAATCGCCGCATCTATGGCTTTTCTTTTTTCCCCATTTTTCTGCTCCGCCGCTGGTGAGACTTTTTTTTTCCCCTTCTTTGCGGCATCTGCAGAATTATTAGAGCGAAAATCGTTTGCGGGCTTCACAAAATTATGAACCTACTTTTAATTGAAGTTATGGGAAGATACTGCAGTTGGACAGCTGAATTTTTAATAAGAAAATATCTTCTCACTGAGGAATTGTGAACTTTCAATTATGAAATCCTTTGGAACATCGGTGAAGATGTTATCGTTTAGTCGAATAATAAATTTATCTTTCAACAGGGAATTAAATGGAGAATCAATGCGATACGAATGACGAGAGATAAGAGATAGTGAGAGAAACACAATAAATCCTTTTTCATCTATTCATTCTCGAATGCGCTTTGGGCTTAAGTTGCAGGATAAGCCGTATACAGGATATTTACTATACATGAGATTTACTCTCTTCTAGTACTAGTTTCGGTAAAATTATTTTATCTCACGGAAATAATACGAGAGAAATGGGAAAAGTATCGACATCGTTATTTCGGGTCGAACATTATACTGTGATGTGCGACAGCTCAATAGAGGCTGCTGATAATATGGTCGACACATCCTTGATTAGTAATTAGACGAGATAACCCTCGATTAGAGGTACTCGAGTGATGTCTGAGAGTAGGCTCAATTCGAACAAGGGTTGGGAATAATAGAGGGAGATGAGAGAGGGACTGAAATAGGTGGCGAATAGAGGCTCTCGGCAAATATTTGCTGGATATACACGTCTCCGAAGGAAGAATCCTTGAGGATAAATACAACATCCCGATATACCCGCAACTCTCCTATTTCCACAGTCTAAATATATCCGGGATTCTATTATCACTAAATGTATTCTTTCACATTGACTTTTTTTCCCCTTCGTCCCTTCTCATTCAATTTTAGCACGACCTCCTTTCGCAAAACACACATGCCTACAAAAGGAAAAAAGTAATGTCAGTTCAAGGGAGTACGTATGTATTGTTGAACTCTCCGGGGGAGACGATTAATTCTGAATAAATGAGGAAATGCTAAAGTGGGGGACGGGGATTGGTCTTCGATGGTAGATGCAGATAGATTAATGCAACTTTATGGAGAAATGTTAATGAGCGATAAGAAAGGAGGGGAGGAGAATTTTCTTGGAGGAGATAGTTGCCAGGGTATCCGGACACAAAGACACAATCTCCAGTTGGAGTGCTTTAGGCTAATAAAAGGATATTTTTAATGTTGAAATTTTGAAGGAAAATCCCGAGTAAACGACGAGAGAAAATAAAAGCCCCTGTTGAAAATGAAAATAGTTCTTCAATTGGGTTGCCAAGTGAACTGTTTTCCGGTTCGGTTCTGGCGGCACGATTCCTATCGTTATTCAGAGGAAATGAAAGAAGTGGAATGTTGAGGAAGAAAAGAAATGAAAAAAAAAAGGTAATAGAATGGATAAAAAGAGATGAGTTTTCAAAGCGAGAACGAGGTTGAGAAAAAGGGAGGACTCTCCATTATGCAGCGAGTTTAACGCATCCATATGGATAAGCCTGCTCTACCCTCAACTCATCCTTTTTCTGAAACAGGACTATGGGCTATTCCAAAACGCTTTCCCATAACCGTCCTTGCTCCTGGCGAAAAACTACTCGGTTTTTCCATTGGCTCAACTATTGATCAACTATTTCCAGAATATGGCCCAGAGTTAAAGCTGATGCATGAAAATTACAGGAAATTATCTGAAATATGTAATCCTCTCGGGGGCTCTGTAGAGGAAGGTATTCACGGGGTTCATGTTAACGAGTTTTTTTCCCCCCCTCTCAGAGGAGGAAATATATTACGACGAAAAAGAAGCTGGTTATATTAACGAGATCTGAATTGCTTGGGGTATGATGGCAAAAGAGGTTTCTACGCCTGGGTAATTAAAGGTACCAGGGATAAAGTTTTTCGGGGGCTGATTCACCAAGCCCTTTCAAAGAACGAGTTTTCGACCCATTAGCGAAAGTGGAAGCTGGAGATAAACCGACGAGACGAATACTTGTTACAAGTGCAAAGTCAAGATTTAACTGTATCTCCGTTAATTCCTACCAAAATACCACTTCAGTTTCATTCTCAGTCTCAGTATCTCTTGAATGCTTCCTTGGGCGTAATGGGCTTGATTAAAAAAATTTCCAACAACTTCAGGGAAACCTTGCCGATTCCATTAAAGGTACGTTGAAAGTTGCTGAGAGCGTTTTATTGAACATCTCCTGTCGATGGAGCTGGCTAGTCCGATGATTTGACTGGACCAGTAATTCCCCTTTTCTCATCGATCTCCAGTATATCCACAAGGAATCAATCTAGCCGGAGATTTCGGTCCGTATCCATGTGATTTGGCCCTTTGTCATGGCGATCCTGTCTCATAAGGCAAGGTCAATTTTCAGCGTCAATACTCGAGCCCGATGAATAAATCAGTTTGATTTACAATGGGGGGTCATATTTGCTAGTGAGCCTTTGTCTTTCTCCCATCGGGAGGAAAGGAAACTGATAAATAAAATAAAAAAGAGGAGACCATAGGAAATTGGCAACGCCTCGGCAGTTTGTTGGACCCTTCTGCTTGGACTTTGCTCTCCTCTCACTTACAAGTCTCTTCTTCAAATACACAAGCCAGAGGTCTAATAAAACGCTCGGACCGTTGGAGATCGATCGGTCTCGTTGTACACCCCACCATCTAGGACTCTCGTGTCCCTCCTATTTAGTTTTCATCAGTGGTGGTTAGACCGTCTCCATAAATAATAATTAAACTGACGCATTGGATCACTGGCGTTGAAAATACCCTGACGGCTCGTCGAGCAGCTCGTCAACCCTTGACAGCTGTCCTAGATAACGAATGACTCGGAAAACACGCGCAAAGATGATGAACGAATAGAAATATTGATAGTACGGAAATAAAGAGATGGGGGAGGGGACAATTTATGGGGAATGACTGATGACAATCACGTTGGACAGCACTGCTGATGAGCCTCGAGATGTTTGAATATTGACAGTGCCAACCCCGTCGCGCAAATTCAATATTTCCAATATTTTTTCAATTGTCAAGTTACTTTTAATTAATTGAAGTAGATGCTGTTTGTAGAGTACTTGGTCGTATGGCTGACATCACCAATATGTGAAGAGCATTCTCAAACGCTTCATACGTGAAATTGTTCTATACGTATTTTTCATTGTCGATTCAATCTAAATACAGCAGAATAAACATCACCCACTTTATTTATATGAAAAAAATTGTGATCTTCGCTGTGTAACTGGGAGATGGGAAATTCGATCTTGAAAATAGGTCGCGCTTTGTCCTGAACAAAGAGTTTTCACCCCGAGAATAGTCGTGACCCATCCTCGAGTCCGCGTACGTTTTCCAAATTGCCTGCTGTTCTATTTTCCTCTTCTCAAAACCAATTTTATACATATAGATTTTTTTTCTCAGCATAGCAACATTCTTTTTCAAATATGTGTTTTCATTGGGCATGCATTGCATGCTGACAAGGGCACAAAAACTTGTGTGTGGATGCTGTATAAAGACGGGAAGCCCATTCGAAAAATCTGGCTCGTTGGATAATCCGCGCGGGTGAAATAATGGCGGCTTTCCTAAAGCCCGGGGGAGAGAGAGAGAGAGAGAGGGGATGGAATGGGAAGAAAGGCTTTTCTATTGAAAGTAAATTCCACATTCGTTCTATTTTCCCTCATTTTCCTTTTTCATTCTTAAGGAACGAGCTCCATATCGCTATTTTATAGGAAACAGAGCGGACTAGCGAGCGACATCCAATTAAAAAAAAATTCATCAATGCGATATACACGCAGGGATTGGAAGATTTTCTTTTTTCTTTTCTACCAACAATTTTTCCACTGAAATTAAAAATTCTTGTGAAGAAAAATTCACGGAAGTGAGGTTGAACGTCTTGTTCAGGAAAATTTAGTCAATATTTTTTTAACCGTATCATGGCTGAAACGAGTACGTTAAAAGAAAAAAATGGGTAACAAAGGAGAGTATCGTATCAGGCCTTTAATACACGATGATATCGTATGATTACAGATACTCTATATTCATACATGTTCCCGGATTAAATGAAATTCTCCGTCGTGCGATATAAAGGAATCGTGAAAGCTATCGCGCTCGTTAAGAATCAAATTACGTCACCTTGAGCGAAACTTACGAGTGAAGAACCCCTAGTGTAATGGTTAAGTAGTCCTTTTTCGCGAAATAGACGAGTGAAAAGGCAACAATTGCGAGTGGATTAGGAAAAAGTCAATAAGAGTATATATACCTATAGCGCAGAGGAGTCAGGCAAGGTAATGTCTGTTTGATGAAGTTATGGAGTTACAATCTCAATGGGGAGTAAATTCTCCGGTCCTCACCTGCAACACGTAATGAGAGAAAAATTTATGTAGTTTTGATGTAATATAATCCCTGTCTAATTCTCGAGGATTACTCGCAACAAAGGGTTCTATCCGACATTCAAAACTTGGAACGTTTATTATTTGCACCAAGTTGCATCACGAATTTACTCGTGCAGTCCGTCTAGCTGAGTACATAGATATGGAAAAGATATCAACCCTTAATTACAATGCAAATTGAGTTTATGTCTGAATTTATAAAGCTGTAACTCCTGCGAGTCAGTGGAAAATATACGCGCGAAGGTAAAAATAAATTATTTATACTGATTATGCGCTATCAGTTTGCGGAATCTACCGATTGAATGTGCAAATTGAATGGTGGGAAATGAATATAAATTGAACTACCTATCGATTTCTGGAGACACTGTGGGGTCGATTATACTTAACGAGCCGTCGTAAGAATGTAAATACAGCTTTCTTCCGATTGGAATCGCACTATTCTACGAATTCATTGAATTTCGAACTAAGTCAACGGGGAACTCGATCCTATTAGTAAAACATGACCAAAATTATTGATGACGAATAAAAATGGAAGGGTTGGGTGGGTAATTATGTCATTTATGGGAGCAGAGCATCCTCGGGGTGGAATGATGATCGATGTAGGGGTTGGTGCCTGTCGATTAACACTTACCGCACTCTTGACATTTCCGACGGTCACTCGACATTTCTAGTGAACATGCGACACCCTCCCCACTTCATTATCTCATCAGTTTTTTTTAGAAAATCCTTAATACACCCATTGTGATAATTCTGTCATTCAATACTCCCGCCAGATTCCCGTGCAAAAAAAAATTCCAATCCCATAAGCCGATTTTTTCTATCTGCTGTGAAATATTCGAAAAATTTCAGGGAACGAGATTGAGGGAGAGCTGGAGTTGTATCATATTTATCCAATGGATTATTGGTACGAGTGTTAAAAAAAAATGTGGTCTACAAATTTAGTATTGCGAGTAATGAAAAATTTTCACTGTCAAAAAAGTATTAACATTTGGTATTTAGATTGGATAGAGAGCAACTGCTGAATGTCGGGAAAAGGTAATACGATAAATTAACTAGATGTGAGTTCACATGGGAAATTTGTTGGCTTTCACAGAGATTCTGGAGCATCGCATTCTCACAACCGCAGGTACATCGTAAAATACACAGCTCCACACGTGTAGAGTCCCGCCATGGCCAGTTAGCCTTTTGTTCACTATCGGGTTTAATTAGATATCCATCATTATTGGGGAAAATTTAATTAAACGGCCAGTGAGCATCGGAATTTTCCGAGGTTACTCCCGATATCGACGAAATTCGAGCCCTCGGGCTTCACTCTTTCATTTAATCCTGGATTTACCATTACGAAAAAAAAAAAGGAATAACAATTCTTTTTGTTTCACGGATGTTACTCCAACGATTGATGTTCCACTTTTACCACTCCATGGCCTTGGTTTCGTTTCATATTCAACCGAGGAATCGGAATATAAAAGTGCGGTCGGGAGATAGAAACCCTAGGGCGTTTTTCAAATAACAACAGAATTGCGGAGAATAGTTCTATTGATTACATTCGCAGTCCTTCGGAAAAATGTAAACACTCCTGTTAAAGATTCTGTAATAGAACAACAGTAAACAAACAAAATACTGTAACTCAGTGAAACAGAACTCAAGTTCGTAAAAAGTTTCAGACATTTCCCCATTTTCTTCAAAAAAATATTCGTAAAGAGTATCAAGACCAACTTCAAGTTTTCCATGATAAACGAAATTACCGAAACTACGCGGATGGGGGGGAGGAGAAGGGGGAAAGGGCGGACAAATGAGCAAGGGATTTGAAAGTTTGAAATTCTTCCCCTAGAGATTGACGACACTCCTATTACCTCGTATGTATCCCAACATTTTTCTATTACTCTTGGTCCTATATACCGGATAAAATGTTTGAAAGAAAAAATGAGACACCCAAGCCTCATTTATATGCTCGTTGACTGCGAGAATTCTCAGTCGTATATGTTACTATAATCCCTGACATACGTCACTCAGAGGGATCTAGAAACAAGTCCCTTTTGCATTTGTGTGTGGGTCAGAGAAAATTCCCATAGACGGATGAGTGAATACGAAGGGATCCGTAGGAGGCCGAGGGTGGCTTTTGTATTAAACCCACCAGCCGTTAAGATAACGATGAGATCCGTCAGGGCGACGGTTAAGAACCCGGTTGGCGATACTCTTGCGAGAAAACTTTTCCCTGCACTTGTCCTTCAACTCCTCGCTAACTCAACAAAAAAAAGGCGATAAGAAAAAGCAAAAGAGGGAGGGAAAGAGGTCATTCCTGTACTCTCAGTGAAGGATGGAGGGCCAATTGCATGCTAAGCCCTCGACATGTTGACTCAACATTTCTCCTGCTATGACAATCCACCACAAAATATTTTTATTTTAGGTGTGAAAAATATTTTTCCCTGTAGACGAGCACCACAGGAGCTTGTGAATGCCCCTGTAGACTTGCCAGTTCAGGAAGTGACGTCCAACACTGGTTGCCGTCTCGGGGACCAAGCAACTTGGACTCTAGATGGATAGTCTAGTTGTGATGAAATTAACGTCCAAGCCATGAGGTATCATGGTAATTGCAAGAAGTTAGAGTACCTGCCTCTCACTTCATCTTTTGCCTACACCATCCCCGAGGCGTTGGGGTAACTCACCTGAGTCTCTCGTGTACTTCATCTACCGAACAAGAGGTAACGGGGAACAAGAAAACTGACGATCCCAGAGGCGAGCTTGCCAATTGAACGTGATTGTAAATCGGTTAACTAAACATGATAACTTTGAATTATTACAACCAACCGAGAAAGCCTCAATTTTTATCGCCAAAGGATAAGGGTGATTGTGATACATGTCATCGAGCTGCCAACATCGAATATCGAATATCGAGCAATGTGGAAAATGGGTCAGCTCACTGCCAAGGACATTTGAAATGGCCCAAATGTGAAGGCCAGAGCAAGTGATTTTGTTGTATTAATAGACCAGAATCTGACGTGCCACTTTTCTATATTTACCGTTGATATTTCTCCATCCTATACTACGACGAATTCCATGAGTGGAAAAATAATGGATAAAAATCCAGGGATGCTCTAGACACTAGAGCTTTCTCAGTAAATATCTCTAGCACATAGAATGTCTAGCATCCAAAGAGGTAGATGCTTCTCATATTCTCAACTCAGCGTTCCCTCGAATGCTTGTCTTCCAACTATTAGGATCACCCTGTCAATTTGTTGGAAGATGAAATTAGTTTCAAACTCAATATTTTGAGAGAAGATATTCGAAGATGGGGAAAATAAAGTATGAGGGTGGGATCAGTGGACAGAAAAGGTGGAACAAACGTTATATTTCCCGGGAGGCCCGTCGAGACAGTGGATTAACGTGGGATTTTATTCTCCTGGACAAGAGGGCCAACCCGTGAATGGCGCAAAGCTGGTGAAGAGAAGCAACAGTACATGCCCTGTGTACATAGCTGTATGTGAAAGAAAGGCGAAGTGAGCAATACAGTCCAAGGTAAACAGTAATATAGACGCTGGTTTATACAGAAGAATGCCAAGAGGCGTCGGGATATTCTATGACTCGACGATGTGACTAGGCAAAACACGATGTAAACACCAGTTTTATTTATTTTTTTTTTCTCAATCATCTGTATATACCGAGAGAGAGGGTGTATGTATTATGGTCGAGTCGAGAATTCATTTTCTATTCGAGAAAATGCGGAAAAAATTAAGTTGATGGAGTCCGAACAAACAGAAAGATAATATTATTTGTCTTGAGGGTAAAGTTTGTCTGGTATTGTCGTGTTAATTAAATGGATAAGCCTGCCATTCCTCTGTGGCCACTCTTTACTATCCTCTTGTCGACAGTCGTGCTTTAACTTGAACACCAGCGTGTGTCATTGCCGCGCCAGTTGGCTGTGAGAAAGAGAGTTCTCCACAAAAGACGACGGAAATGTTTGACACGTCAAGGGGGTAACGTCTGACGGACGGACGTGGATAACGAAGTTGTATTACTCACGTAAAACGTTTACTCGACGAGCGCTCCAACATTTTCCACAGGCACAAACTCAGTACACAAAAGCTGTCAAACATTTACAGATTTCTAGGGACACAGGAATTGTCTGCTTTCGATGTAACTCAATGATGTACACCAGTTTATGCTTTATTTATTTATTCCGTTCATTGTATTTTCAAAGCACCCATTCGCATGAAAAAAAGTGTACATACTCAAATATTGTTGAAAATTTCATGAAAAAAAATGTGTGCCAGCTTGAAAATTCAATGAGCCCGTGACAAATTAATGGATTTAACTCCAACAACGAAAAACAACTTGTCAGGTATCGAGTATACCTTTAAGTTGGAGGTTGGATGGATGGAAAATTCATTGGTAATAATGTAGTCTGAGCATCGTGAAAGTACACAGACTCGATTCACTGGTGTACAGAGTACAGCGAGGGAAACTTTCTGGGCCCTGGAAATTCCAAAATTTATAGTGGACCACAGCTCGATTAATGGTCGAGACTAGTCACCAACTGTAAATTCAACGCTCTTTGCTCATTCCACTGGTAGCCACGACCTAGATCAACGGATTTATTCTACACTAATCGGAACGACCACGATATCCGAAATTAAATCACACATCCAGCACTTGATTCTCCCCGCTACACTAGTCAATCGGTGCTTTATTTTTTCCCATCAGTCCAATTCAAAATGAAATGAAAAAAACATTGCCACAGAATAGGAGAAGAGGAGATGAAAAAAAAATGATGGAGAGAGCTGCATGCCATCCGAGCGGTGGATTTGCGGCTGGAAAATTAAACCTCGACCTGCCTCAACGTTTTATTCAACGACCGCATCACCACGCCCGGGACTCAACGGTTAGGAAAATATTCCAATAGAAATTTTCAACTTTACCCCCCCCCCCCTCATCCTCTTTCCCCCGTCTTTTACCCGTCCCTTCTTTTACAATGTGAACTCTCTGGATTCAGCCCGAGCAAACTCCCGAGTTCTAAATAATTCCCATCACCAGTGCAATGTGAAAAACAAAGTGGAAAAAAAAAAAGACTTGACTCACGAGTCAGACATGCACGTAAGATAGTTTCACGGGTACGGCAAACGAAATTCCGGAGATAACGTGTTCACCGAAACAAGACAAAACAAACTCATTTCGTGAAGATGAAGAGATTATGGTTTACCAGAAGTGGTGGGACAATTTTTTATACGAGGGGTGAGAGAGAATGAGCTACTGGGTCACCGAACTGGGCCTCTGAACAAGTCATACATTTGCCCTGCGCCTCTAATTTTTGCATAATTAGCCATATCTCTACAACACAAGCTCGTAAATTACTTATTTAATCGCGAGCAGTGAAAATTGTACGGAAACGTGCTGCACGCCAAATACACCAACTTCTTAAATTTAGATTAACCAAACTCCCTACCCGATACCGGTAGAATATGAACAAAGTCTATTTTCCTCGGATGTCTGGGGGAAAAAATTGAAATTCCACCGCGACGAGAATGAATTCGTGAAATTTGATGGTGAAAAAGAAGAAAAATAAAAAATTCACGGAGAGAAGAACGCAAAAGAGACGACAATAAAAATATCAACGAATATGAACGGAAATAATTCGAATACCGATCCCAACAATCTTGTCGTATCATCCCCGGTATTTTTATTCCCGTATTTTCCCCTTCGACCTGTCCTGCCTCATCCAGTTAAAAAGACGAATCCACTTGGATGAAAGCATGAAAAGGCACTCTGCGGAAAAACCGACTTTTACGATGTCAATATAATTCTCAATGCGGCCATCTTTATTTCACCACATCACCAATCCTCTGGAAAAGCCTTGAGCGATCTTGAAGCCGAGCAGAAGCTCGTCGTTGGGTTAATTAAAACTTTTGGCGTTCGTGGGGCTCGAAGAGGGGGACGAGACACGCGCCAAAGACTGGAGAAAGTAGTAAGTGCTATGATGTGGCCAGCCCCAGTCTCAACCAACCAACCCAACCAACCCATCCAACCCATCCAACCCAACGGACTTGTGTCAGGTGAATGAGCCTGGAGTGACATTTCCGAGCTTCCCTAGCTTTTCAACACCATTTTCCGGGTTCACCAGCGTCTTCCTCCAGCGCATGACTCTTTGCAATTCCCGTCTTTCACAAAAATCTCCATTTACATACTTCCCCAAAGGGTTCATGCCTCATTACCCTCCATCGGGGTTAGCCGTTAAAACAACGAAGCAGATGATTGGACCTCCCACTCCCCTCCATCCAAATTGAAAATAAAAAGGCATCACCTCGAGCTTTATTTCTTCTCCCATCACCAAAGAGCTTTATTAGTTGGTGATAAGACCAATGGAGCCCTCGCCTCAAGGGAAGATTCATCTTCACTCCTCCAATGTATCTCCTGCTTCTATATTTACCGCCAAAATAGACCCCACAAAATAAAGAGGAAGCCACTCGTGGAATTGATTTCATCTCCCATGCGATTTTTTGGAAGACTGAGGACTGGACCCTGGATGGCAGTTGGAAATTCTGGGTGATATTTTGGTTGTGCATCGGGGTACGACAGCCACTGGAGGATGAAGAACATTACCTGAGGAAGGGGTTGGACTCTACGGTTTATGCATTGAATATATCCTTGCTCTCTGCTGTCTTGACGCCTGGGAAGAGCATGTTACGGCCGGTCGCCAGTTTAGCTACATTATGCAACAACTCTTGCCTAATATGCATATAGTGTCTCGGTTGGTGTATCTTGAGGCAAGGCAAAGGGAAGGTACTCAAACTCAGACAATGCGAGGTGGTAAAGGCAAAGAGTGAGGCTAGGTTCATGTGTGGACGGGCGCCATCACTGCAAACCACAACACCGCACACCTATTTCAATATTCACTCACACGAAACTCCCTGTTCCATTCTCTACCTCATCCTCTTTCTTCCTCATTTTTCCGGTGAACTAGGACTCTTCAATACCTGACCAGCTTCTGTGGATAACGAGAAAACTTTCGATTCGAAGAAACGACCAACCCGGAAATTCAACAATGCCAAGGATGTAGAGAAAACAAGTGAGACAAATTTTCGTCGTTACATTGAGGTGGACTCAATGGAATAAAACAACGCCCTCACCTCTTACACCAAAATGAGAGGGTGGAGAGGGGTATTTATCATGAGAGCTACTTTCTTATTCCCCCTGTGGACGGTTTGTTGATGATTTATTTGAAAACTTTCTGGGGGAGAAGTTTTTGAATGTCTTCGCTCGGATTAAGCGGTAGGAAAAATATGAAATCCCCTGCCATTCTGAACGCGTTTGATCGCCATTATTTTTTCTCACGTATCCGCCTGTCTTTTCAAAATAAGGCTAATTTTGAGACAAAAAAATTTTGAGCTTATGGCCGCCACTTGCCTTTTCAAGGGAAACTTCAAGAGTTTTAGTCAAACGAATTCATACCACAATGGAGAGATATCATATACACTCATCGAGAGATATTAAATGTCCAGAAATACAAATGGTGCGATACTAAAATAGGTGTAGCGGCAGCGATAAGGTCAGTTGGGTCGATAATTCTCGGTGAAATGAATAAGCAGGAGGGGAAAATATAGCAGTGTACAGCTGGGATGACCCCGCACAGGATATTTTGGTTTTTCCACACAAAAGAAAGGGAGGAAGTGAAGGACACCGAAAATATAGACACGAAGATATACATATCCCGAGGATATACTCTGTTTGCTTCTCCACAAGGATGGCCGTGCAGTCGGATTACGTCGGATGAACGTCGGGCTTTTTCACCCCCCCACCACATCCGAGTGCGACGAACTTACCCGAAGTAAACTTTCAGCTTCGACTTCTTCCATTTCTCTAGTATTTTTCGTTTTTTTTTTTTTCTATTTCCATCAACTTCTCTCCCTTTCCGATATTTCTTCTCTGCTCAATGTCCTCAGCAGACTCGAAAAGTTGGAAGAACTAGACTGACGACAACTGGAGGTCGCTCTTAATTTCAAAACTATCAGCGTGCAGAGTCCCCTCTCTTCAACTTTCAGCCAATATCTATCTGTCTTTCTTGTTTTCTGGTGTTCGTGCCACTTAGGATGGGATTCTATACGCGATCTTCTACCAGCTAGGAAGTTAGTTAACCGGGGTTGGGGGGACGGGGTTCGTCAATTCGATCAAAAAGCTATCAGGCTTTTCTTGATGAATGGCCGAGGGTTATACGACGGCAATTGGTGGGTCGAGAGACACTGTGAGACACTGGAAATTACCTCAACGAGATGGCCAAAGGGGGGATAGAAATCAAGTAGTAGATAAGAGAAGAGAACCAAGACACAAGCCGCAAAGCGAGAACTAGCTTTTGAGATTGATCGATCGCATTCAATTTATGAGTTTGCTAATACATATCGCCTACTTTTATCCCCAGTTTCACCAAAACTTTTCATCCTCCATTTCTTTTGACACCTTTTTAACGTTGTTCACGGGAATTACGGGTAAGTCTGTCAGTTTGGCCAACAAAGTTGGATTGACAAACGAGAATACTTCTCTAACATTGGATGAAATATCGGAATTCTCGTTCGCGGAATAGAATATTTCGATGAAAAATATTTGCTGAGAAGTCGAGGCCCTCATAAATTTATGACAAGAGGGAGTGGGAGTGATTTTCCCTCGAGTTTATAAGGTGAATTCGCAATAGACAGGGGTGAATCAACGAAGGGTGTCACATGCCAGGAGGTTGACTGGTTAATTGCATGGGTGTCGTGTGACATTTACCATTGGGGGGTGGTGGGTGCCGAGGAAGGAGTTAAAAGACAAGCCCCGACATTACGCCAGTGGAAACAGACTGTGGTGGAGCTCACATGCCACAGTAATAACTAACATTCTCTCTTCACCATCACCTCAGAGATTCTGGAGCAAGAGCTGATTACATATTCGTAGAGCTGTCTCGCTAAATCCCATCAAAGTGTGTAAATCACACGTACTGCGGCTGACTATTTTCGCCTCGTCATCCCTGTCTCTATTCTCTAATCTCCATTAACCGCAACAGACAATAAAGATTTCTCGGGCTAGACAAAGGGTGAGCAAAAGCTCGTTGGTGTAAACTTTTTGTGACCGTATACCACCTGAAAGTGCGATGAGCGAAGCCCAGCGCCAACGTATACCAACCTAACCTGCTGGCAGAATACCTGATGCCCTCTTGGAAAACAACCCCTCCAATTCCCTCCAACCCCCTTCAACCCCCTTCAAACCCCCTTCAATCCCCTTCAATCCCCATCAACCCCCCTCCAATCCCCTGGATAGTTGGCAGTGTCACGTCGACAACGCAACGCCGGATGCCGCGTGTATCGCATGGCGCATCACAAGACGGTAAACAGAGGTAAAGATTCCAGTAAAATTAAAGCTCAAGCTGTAGTTGCTAAATGGAGAGGAAGAGAGAGCTCTCGGTTAGTAACTGGTGCAGGAGCGAGTGGTAAAAATCAACGATACGATGTGAACCCCGAGCAAACCGTGTGGCCGTGTTTCCGCGGAAGATCGATGGCCCTGTGGAAGCTCCCGTACATTTATATTTTTCAAGATTGTCGGTATCTCGGAATTTTCCCGTTACAGCGCGTACATGCACATTACCAGTGAAAAATCCAAATAAAATTGCATGGTGAGTAATTATATAGGAGTGAGAAAGAAATATTGAATAAAAGCTCACCTGATACTGGCGTGCCCGGTCGTCTGCCTTTCACCTCGCGCCTTTCCCTCTCGTCCGCAGTCTCTCTTCCCTCCACCCGTTTCTCGTTCTCTCTTTATGATTATACGTTAAACGTTAAACTCCCCCTGACCACCTTTATTTACCCTCCTCAAAGGACAGCTTATCGCAATGATGAAAAAAATAAATAAATAAAAATATGGAATAATTTGCTGTGGATGGTATTTAAATAGTTTGAGGAGAGTAGATGGAAGTCTCGTGGCAAACGGTTGTGGACTGAGTGATGCCGAGTTGAGACTGAGGAGTACAGTGTATTTTAGAGGTGGTGGTGAGGCTACGGTGGCGCCATCACTCGCCATCATTATGGGGGGATGATATTGGGGTTGCGGGGGTTGGTGTGTATGCGCAAAGCGAGTGTCTCGACGCCGTAGGATCGATCCGAGCATGAGGGTTTGGGGTCGAGCGGTTCCGTCGGGGGGGGTTGGCAACGGCACACAAACCGCCGGGAGGTTGAGGGGGAAAATTTAACGGGAGTGAGATAGCCCCAGTGTGCAACTATCAACCTCCTAACATGCGCAAGCAGGATGAAATGAGCTCTGTTCACGTTGAAGAAGGCGGGGCATAACCACCCCACCCCACCCCACGCCACCCTACCCCACGCCACCCCACTCCACGCTACCCCACTCCACGCCACCCCACCCCATATCACCCCACACCACCCAACCCCTGAGCTCATTCTATCGCGCTAGACCGGCCGTTACGCACCCTCTCCTGCTAGACTCAAGCAGAAGTCACCAACGAAAGGGGGCGATAGACCCCTTCATTTTTCTCAAACGCATAAATTCCTTCAATTTCTCATTTCCTCCCTTATTTATACGCGTTTATACGTGGACACACCACTCAAAAAATCTGAAGAGACATGATCAACTGGAGATGCTCCATGCAGAATCTCAGCGTCACGTGGAGTCCCAGACGGATGAAAAATCGGTAAGCTCTGTCAACGGTGGTCTAATTTATTTGACAGTGCGCACGTGGTGTGCAGGAGGACAGAAACGGCCCGATGGAAATCGGATTTGTGTCAGCTGGCAGCGATCGTATCAGCCAAGGGGACGGAAAAATCGTGTCCCGAGGAATTTTCCGTGAATTCCTCACTCGGTAAGGACACCGGTAAAAACACGGGATGGAGAGGGGAGAGGGAGTGTGTGTCATGAACACTTGACTCACCCTCTGTGAATTATGGAGAAGTACCGAGGAGCTTTCAACTATCAACAACAGAATACTCAATTTTAAAATGAAAGCCCGGGTGGCTCACACACGAGGAAATTGTGTAATTTCCGCGAGTGGAGGCTCTCTCGCTGAAAATCAATTATGACCGCATTTCTTTTAGGATGGCATCAAGGGTAGAATCCTGTCGGATCACCATATTTTGTGCAGCTGACGAGGGTGGTCATGTACCGGAGGGGGAAGAAGGGCCTTGCGAGGTTTGGGCTAGAGGCGGAAGCATATCCACGGATCACGTCGTTGGTACACTGGGACGACGGATTACAGGGAGGTGAGCGAGTGAGAACTGGAGGAAAACCATGGGAAAAGCACCAAGGCGAAGTGGAGATTCGTGTTAGCAGGCTTGAGGCGATATTCCATCCAACGCGCCAGGTATTATCGCCACCGTGATGAGCATGCGAAGAAGATGGACTGTGATTGCCCCGGTAAATCTCACTAAAAAAAAAAACAACTTATCATATTTACCCCGAAAATCGAATAAATCGTGAGGGGCTAAATTCATCCGATAGATTTTTTACTAAACTCTTGACGAATGTTTATCGTTTAGAGATAACGAAATGGAGGATTTTGTGGGGGCTGACTTGTGTTGGATGATCACTCGGGATTACCAGCGATAGACAATTTCGCTGAATTCAACCGATCACCCCTCTCATTTCCTGAGACAATTAATTAGTCCAGATAATCAGGATCTGATTGGCTTCCTCCCTCGTCGCCTTACTTTATTGCACAAGGAGGAGATATAATAGCTCCTGCACTTGATATCAATTAACTTGTAGAGACAGCCACTTTGACGCCATTATAGCATCACTTATCTGGAATCGAATTGCAGCTGAGCGAATTGCCGCTACTGGGAATTTTAGAAATATCAATAATTTTCAGGAAGAAATCGATGATAACATAATTCAATTGCAATTATTGCTGGAGTATTAATGTGAGCAAATATATTCGCATTTATCTGGATATATTCTCCAGTGGCTAGCGTCTCATCTGAAGAGTAAACGAGTAAACGTAAAAATTGAAAAAATAATTAGTGGAAAAAATACGATGCTGAAAATACGCGCACGAGCGAATCCTCACGCTATTAGTGAAAAGCACTTTGTTCCTCATTTTTCCTTCCGCTGTACGAGCACACCATCGCCCATAATTACTAGATAACAGTGCAACCTCGATCTTTGCTCGAATTATTACTGGGTAAATTCGATTCGAAGCTTGCCCGGATCCATCAAGTGTTCTAGTCCGTTCACCTGGGGAAATGAAAGAAAAAAAAAATAAAAATAAAGCCGACCAGAGAAGCGAGCGAAAAGTACAAGAGGAGAACCAGTGAAAATGTCTTTGGTAGAACCAAAAATCACATCCCGAGTGAAGAGACTTTTATCGTGTTTTCTATTCTTTTTCCGAGTGGGAAACGTTTGCTACTGGTGGTGGAAAATAAAAGAGCGGTGCCCCGCACTGCGTTTGCAAATACGTGATCTGAATTCCCAAGTAGTATACCGCAACGGTGAAAAGACGAAGAAGGGATTGTCCCTGAGTAGGTTAAGCCATAACTCCGATGATCAATGTCAAAACTACTCTCGGTTGGACCATGTCTTTTCCCGACTCTACACCAGAAAAGATCAACTCTGAGTGGTATTTGGCTGCTCGTGCGTGAACACAAATTTTCTCAGCCACTCTTCGACGTCTTTTCCACTGCGACTTGATTTTTCCCTCTTTTTTTTCTCTCGCACTTGGACAGCGATAAAAACATCAATCTTCCAGCCCGCACCCTGAGACGAACTCCTTCCGACTCGGTCTGTATAATCCCAGGGTGAACCCTGTGAATCAAAGGTTGACAGCCCAAGACATGATTCACGCTGATGACATTAACGAATTCGTCTCAAGTCTCAAGGAACTCCTGGTAAATCAATTTCTTAATAAACGTTCAGAGTAAATTAAACGTTCAGAGTAAATTAGAATGAACGGTGAAATAGTGAAGTATGAGCTCTATGACTCGTTTGAATAGACCTGCAATTGATGGCCCTCGAGGCCTTGCGTGTTTTATTTTTTTTTTTCTTTCTACCTCGACATCACCTCAACCAGTGGACTTTCACTGTCGAGAGTAAGAGTGCACCTGAGGTCAGGGAACTCCCGTGTAACACCAAGTGATGGGGTATACACGTGTATAAAAATAAAGGGATTGCTGAATAAATGAGTCGATTCATGAATACAGCGTGACGTTCATCGGTATTCAATAGCGCAAAATAATCCGTCCACGAAGATACTAAATACGCAAATGTTATTCTGATTATGTAAACATGGAAAAAGTTGGGATTGGATCGGTGAGTATTTTTCGGTTTTTTTTTAAACTCAGAAAGAAATAATCAAAGTTTAGTAAGTTGCCTGGACTTATCGATTAGTCATCGAGGCGGTTATCCTTTCAGTCAACAATGAATATTGATTGAGAGAAATCGATGAGAGGCTTTCATTGTGTATTATAATATAATTGATGAATTCATTCTTATTATGACAGCATCGGCGCACCATCACTTTCACAAAAGATGACGATGATAATGAAAATATATTTCCATTGAGGTGTATCGAGTTCTTTCCATTGAATAGATCGCTTTCTAAATGATTTAAAAATACAATAACTGCGAAACGTTGATGCCCCATGACACGAACATTTACTTGAGTAATTGGTTTTTCATAACCTGAGACTCAAAATTTAATGAAGAATTACGAAAAATGGGGCATAATGAAACGTGACGCTGTGGTACTGAAATTATTATCTTCACATTGTGCGGGTGTTCCGTAATTCGTGGTGGATCATTAGACTCATTGTTGTAATCATCGTCGCGTTACAATTCAGCTCTCGTCACGCTGGGTTATCATTTTTTTTTCTTATTCGTGACTTACTTGAAATGCAGCAATACGCGAGCATTTCTCACTAATTTATCCACCAACAATTTTCATTCCAGGAAGATACCCCACCACCAGGAAGCCATTCATTTCTATAGTACCGTCCATTTGAATAATCCATTTTTATGCAAAACACACAGCTATTTCCATTCATTTTGTTTATTCATTTTCCGTTTTAACTAATTGTCCTTCGTTTATTCTATTACCGAATATCAGTTGTCTCTCCTCGAGTTTTCATTGTTTTGATAGCGCGCAACGGATCCCTTCCGCGGTATTGTCCCTCTTCCTATCTCTCTCTCTTTTTTTTTTTATTTCTACTGCTCAGTGTTTTTTTCCGAGTGAATGGGAGACGACTATCGATATGATGATGTAACACACCCACGGGGGACAACTCGGCACAATAAAACGTCCACTTTCTACGACTCACACACAACTCCCATCAAACGTCAAATTTTGACGTTTCGTGCATCATCTCGGATTGCGTGACACGTGCCACCCCAACATCGAGATCAATACTCTTGTACAATCATGAGGCAAGATAAAAACATTCCGAGCAGTTTCACATTTATTATTTAGTTCCCTAGCCAACTCGAGTCAACAGGAAATGATGGGCCCTGGAAAATGGAAAATGAAGCAGCCTAAAGGCAACAACTATTGACGACCGATATCCTCGAATTTTATTTTTGAATAGTGAATGCGAATCGGTGAACACGAGCATTTCAATGTAATGGAGAATTCTTTCAAGTGTTTCTTTCAGTTTTTGATAAACATCTCAACGAAAACAAACGCTGAATCCGGTGTATTTACCGAACTATAAACTGCAAGTGCCTAGTTAGATGAGAGAACACGATGAAAAAATATGAGAGACTACAACGAAAGTATCTATTGTCATCAGGTTATTATTTGATGTAAACGCGAAAAACATCGGAGGATGTCCTGAATGCGGTGTCGTTACGGTCGGATACATTTCTTCCGCCCGAAGGATAAAGAATCCACTTTGTAAAAGGACAGCCGAGATGGGAATAAGAAAAAAGTCAATTCAAGAAAGCGCACACACAAATGAACATCCTCGGAAATATCCGATTGACACATGTTCATGATCGAAACATGACGATAAAAGAATTCCGTACCTACTAAATATATATGCACATACTGATCAATCGATTGAGCAATCGCGCCAGCGGATAAAATCTTTGAAAAAATGCGTAGAATAACGAAAAAAAAAATAAATAAATAAAAATGAAGGGAAGAGCTTGATAGCGGATCATTGATTAATTGCCAGGTCCTCTCCGGGTTCTCACGTTAGAACGCAGTTGTTGAGGTCGAAGGCGAACTACTCAATTCAGAATAATAAAGGATTACTCAAGAGGATCTATCGGAAGGCGCTCGTAATCCCCTTCTGAGACGCATTCAGTATCAACGGATATTTTATTATGTTATTATATTTTTTCCTTCACTTTCACAGAGGCAATACACACACGGCCAGAGGCTGCTGGGCATTCGCACAATGCGCGGGTCAAGGAGTTCAAGTGAAAGTATTAAATATCAGTGGCCTCCGGATAGATCTCCAGCGATACCAACTATATTCAACTCCGGGGATTCGTCTCTCAATGGATGGTGAGATCATAAGAATGGAAATATCATTTAATGCCTATTCATTAGGCTTATTCAAATAAAACTGCGTGCTCACTATTTCGAGGTTTTTATTCTCGGGGAAATGAAAATAAAAATAAACCTCGGAAATCGATAAAACTCGATGTAAAAGGAAGAAACGTGTATCTCAGTTTCTCACCCATTGATTATCATTATTGCGAAGCCCGTGTATTGCACAACGATGTTTTTGCAATGGCGGAGATGTTGATGGGTTCGTAATCACGAAATGAAAATAAAAAAAAAAAAACTTGGAGTCGCTCACTGGTAGAAAAAAATTGCTGTAATTTTCAGGGTGTGAAAAATCATAAATATGGATATTGTACGTTTTCATGGAGAAATGAAAAAACAGAGGGAATCTCACCACCGGGGGTTTGCTCTTGAAGAAGATGTAGGAGACAGTGTGGTTGAGTCGAGTGCAAGTATGAAGACAGTGTTGCAACAGCACTGAAACAGTTACGTTGTACAGTAATACAAGACTGTCGTTAGTCATGGCGCGCTAATGTTATTACACTTACGCGGCCCGTCGCTGTATTCATGAGTTTCACAGTGCATAATATGCGATAGTGCGACAGGCGCAATGTGGAGAGAGAAGTTAGATTTTGCACGGTGGGGCGGGTATTGTTGGTGGAAGCTTCATGGAACTCGATGTGAGACATCTCAGGTCAAAGTCTCTGGGTTCGATCGAACGTGGGTCGCATCGGGAAATGTAATTTTCTCGAGTTTGGCATTGCGCCAGTGGCAAGGTTACTGGGGCCAGAAAAGGATTGGATGGGAGCTTTCAGGCAACTTTATCAGAAACTATTCTAATTTCTCCGCATTTATCCTCGAATCATCACAATTGAACTCGTACTCACCAATTGGTGTGAATAGGAAACAGAATGCCGTTTTTACTTTGTAATTTTTTCATTTATAATTGGTTGGTGGAGGAAGGCGGTTACTGGGTTGGACACCTCTTGATTTCCGTTGGTGTATCTTAATCGTCCTGCATGCCATTCCACCCATAACATAGAGAACATTCTAATCTCAGCATAATGCTTTCTACTCGGCTATTTGGCCCGTTCGCCAGTGGGAATTAAAACTCGGGGAAAATTCTAGTGAATCGGGTGTTCATTGGAATTACTGGGGAACCTTGGATGATGCAAATGAAGCCACTGATTGGATCCCTCGGGTGGGCTCTCAAAAACAGAATGCACTAGGGAGTGGAGAAGGGAGTGAGTGGGATCTGTGGGACATCCCCGGGGGGGCCTCCATGTTTGTAATACCAAAGGAAACACCTTTCGGTGTATAACGATAGCAGAGTGGGACAGGGAAGGAGTTTAGCTTGAGCGATCGAGGACTTTCAACCGGCAGTAAGCATCACGACGCCATGGCAAGCCCATCGTCATCGACATCCAGGTATTACTTGGTCCACGTCCCACTGCTCCTGCTTCTCGTCGCACGTGAGTGATTTCACATTTTTGTTCATTATTTTTTTTCACTTGTGCAGTGATAAGTTGTTTTATTCCATCTCATGGAAATTATCAAGAACGTCAAGCACACGGGTTGGAAATTTTCCGGGCGATTTTCCACTGGCGCCCAGTCGTCTAGACATCTGAACGATCCAACCGATGCTGGATAGTTCAGGATAAGCCACCGACGATCAATCATTGTTGTAACCAACGGCGTGTTGTAGCGTGCAATTTACCCGGGAATATTCACTTCAATTTTCTCGCCTCGGTTATTTATTTATTTAATTTTTCATTCTGTAATGTTGATCCAATGGATGGTTTGCGTGAAGCAGGCAGAGTGTGATGGGCGTGATGGTGTGTAGTCCATTGGAAAGTCGTGTTTTGCCCTGAAAATTTCAACCCCATTCGGCAATATTATGGTAAATGATATTTTTCACACGCTATTTGTTGACTCCTAGATAGAATTTTCTACTTGGACAGATTGCACTTGATAAATAGCACCGGGCGGAGTGGGAAAAAAAAAATCAACTGGCAATGGAAAACAATCTAAATTTCGCTCGGTGAAACCGGGTGTCCGCTTGAATTTTTCAGGTCACTTCTTTCCCCGGAATTTTAAACGAGATACGTGAATTCAATTTATAAATGTACGATTGAGACAATTTTCTCCAGTTACGTGCCGTACACCGGCACTTCAGCAATTCGCGCAAGCAATTACGCAAATAAATCAATAAAATATCATTATTTCTCATTAACCTTAATGAATTCAGCTCAAAGACTTGGCAGCCTATGGAATTAATGAAAAGCATAGGATCAGTGTTTGAATTGAGACGGTCTGAATTCAACCGCAATTAGCACACATCTCTGCTCTGTTTCGCAAATCGATTCACAACCGAATCCACGATTAAATCCATCCTGATTTTCACCTACTCCCGCCAACTGCAAATTCTCCATCAATTGACAAATCTCTGAGGTTTATATCGATTTATCAGACTCAATCGACAAGCACTGAAATCGTGAGATTCACAAAACTCATCACCGAGCCCCCATTTTCCATCTCATGAACGCGTAAACCAATGGCTCGACTTTTTTCCCGAGATTTTCAACCTTGTCACTGCCCCAGTGTATCATACTATTTTTTATTTCCAAATTGAGTGCTCGCGTCCGGAGGGCTTTTAACATGACCACCATCGACAGTATTGACGGTGAGATAACGAATGGAATTTATCTAGCCGAATAACAAGGAAAAAATGCCCCCGCGAATGAAATACAGGTAAAAATATTTGAGTTCCACTGCAGAGACGAGGAGAGAATTTATCCCCACATTTTTCGTGCATGGATATATTAGACGAGGATTGCACAACCAATGATGGATAGCACGTGTGTGTAAAAATGCCGGTATTTATATTCCCTCCATCCCCTGTCACTGAAGTGACGTAAATTCCCCAAAACTAGGGCTTTTTAAATGTCGGAGAAGAGAGACTAATGAAAAAAAAAAGGCGGGGGTGGTGCTTTGAAATGGGAAGAGGGAAAATTGCAGGTGATCCCGACGAGCCCCGCGGAAAGCTAATGAAAAAGGTCGAGCAGACGTTTGATATGAAAAGCAGTGGCTATGTTTATCGCTGGCAATATCAATGACCAGTTTCAACTGCACGAAACATTGTAAATGCAACTCACGGGCCTCTCTGAAACTCATTTCTCGCTGCAATTGCAATGCAATTTCACATAACGACGCGATTCTCCGATCCGTGTCGAATTACCACCACTCCAAGTACCGTTTGTTTACGTTTACTTATCGTTTCAGTAGTTTATGGATTCTCCTATCGCTGCAAAGTACTCATCATACGTCTGTTTCGCTCAACATATCTGCCCTATACCATCATCAGTGTATTACCCCGTTGATCAATTATTTACACGGCTTGCGTGCACTTTACACTATTCTCATGTCAAAGAAAATTTCAATGTCATTAGCCTGTGAAGAGCCTCATGAAGGGGAAAAATCTAACGCAGAGGTCCAACTAAACCAGTCCCCATGACGTTCCCATAAATTGGATAATTTCATCGGGTTTACAATGTTTATTTGCCTAATGGGTCGAATGATGGATTCATCGAGATGGAGTGAATCATTTCAATTAAAACGTGTCAGGTAGTTCAATGGATGTTCTGACATTCCCACTGAGTAAAGAGAAAAAAGTCATTTAAAGTCATCAGCTCCGATGAAAAATTCAATTTGCTTTGTAAAAAGCATTTCTCCCGGTGTCCCAGGGATATTCAACTTTGCAGTTGCAGCACATTCAAACATGTGTACATGGATATCCCATGGATCAATTACGTCTCTTTGCTTTCTCCTGTAAATGTCAGAGGATCAGGCGCACCAGAATTTTTCGACGTCGGAAGTACTTCATGATATAGCACACTGTTAATAATTTCCCGTTGAATTTTCCCCGGAATTTGTTGGGTATTGAGAATATTTTCTCGTAAGAGTTGTGACAGCCAGTGAAATGCATGCCCCAACAATGTATAAAAGAAAATGGTGAATAAGTGTGGAAAGTACGAGGATATCTCCAAACTGTGGCAATTATCGTCTCGGGAAGAAGGTACACTGAATAAATGTGGAATGGGAAAATATATACAAATGCGATGGAAAGTCGAGAGAGTCAGCAGAATGGGAAACCTTAGATGGCAGATCTATTCGTGCAATGCCACTGACTCAGGTAATTTACAGCGATTTTTCCACGCCCCAGAATGCTGATGCCATAACTATTTTTCCCCACATAATTTTTACCAATGCTAAAACCCATTTCTTGCCATCTTTTTTTTTTATTATTTTTCTGTTCGAGGGGAATGGTTCACGGCCATTAAGTTTAGAATTTATTTCTCACCGAGAGGAGTGTAGCGGGTGAATTTTTATGGATGAATTTACGATGATGAGAGTGGTGTTTAGAGTTTAAAGTCAGTGACAATCGAAGGATCCATCTAGCTGGATGAGAATAGTGGGCTTGACACGAACCTCCCAGCATATCCAATTTTTGCAGTATCATCACGTCATATCACATCAGAGTGCAGTACCCCACATGTCTCTCCACGTTTTGCAAACACAAACGAGCCTCTAGCGTGAATGAAAATTGCCTCCTATCCCTGTATTATCCCAGCGTAAAAAGGAAAAAAAAAAACAAGTAGCAAAAGTTTGAAGGGGAAAAAATATGTATTATTGGTTCTGAGGACTGTGATTGCCAGAGTGACTCATCAACAACCAGAGAAAGAGATAAATAAAAATATCCGATAATTGCAGTGGAGTCGATGCCAGGGACATTTTCAATAATCAGAAAACTGAGATATAACTGTCCAAGGTTGAATCATTACCGAGGCCTAGGCCTCCTCTGTACGTGGAATCGTAAATTACGAGTCCAAGTAAACGAGGCACTCGTTAGAAAGCCCAGTCTAACAAATGTTGCAAACAAGAAAGAAATACATGATCGGATATGTCGTTAAAATCGATGCTATTCGAATATAACGGACGTTGAAGTAGTGTCGGAGGACCTGAGAGTCCATGGACTCATCAGGATACGCCCAGCGACCGAGTGAATTTTGCATAGTCCAGTGGATTGATGTTGATGGGATGTAAGTGGAATTTTCAAACCGTTAACCCACTCCATAGATGGTCAGCCATTATCTCCATCGATATATATTCCCCGGAAGAATGCGTCTTTAATGAATTCTCCACTTGCGGAAGATAATAAATGCCCCCGATAAAAATAGAGAGATAAAACCGGTATCAATCTTCACGGCTGATTATTCATCGATACACGTTACCATTCACTTGCATCAACTATGTACCAGTCCTTGGATATGAAATCTGTTGAACGATGACTCGACGAAATCGCTCAATCCACTATTTCTCATATCGAGTCGTTGATGGAGATTAATGTTGCTTTGGTTAATGGTTAATTGTATTGTTGTGTGGTTTACAGAGGCGTGCAGTGGCGAATATTATGGCAAGCTGATTGGCAAGTTATCAGAGCTGCATCATGATGTCAGTGGAGAGGTTTATGCGGTCGATGCCAGAACACTCTTTATCAAGGATTTAACGTACGACGGAGAGGGTCCGAGTGAGTTTTTTATTTTTTAAGCGCACCTGTCGCCCATCAGAACCCAAAAAAATCACGTTGAATTTTTTGGATTTTCTGATTCCAACGAAAATTACTCGACGAATATTATTTCATTAACTTCGACGTTTCTGTTGCACGAATAATCCACCAATTAACCGAATTTTCAAACTCTGAAACAAGAGATTCTGGTGCTGAAATATTTTCCATCAGCCTCGTTTAGTTTATCTATTATCCAGCCGTAGGGCATCTCCATCTCACAATACAGTGATGTGCACTCCGGATGAATTTCCGCAGAGATTTCATAGCATTTTTTTCCCGTCACTTATCGCTGAGTAATTCCCGGTTGAATCTTTTTACAATGTGCAAAATGAAATAAGTTCATCGCTAAATAGCAGGATAACTTTCATCGTACTTTCTCCGGATAAGTTTCTTGTAAGCTTTCCCGTGGAGCTGAAAATCGCGTGAAAAGAAGAAAAAAAAAAACGATTGACACTTTTTCATTTCCTCAGGCGCCTACTTTTACGCCGGAAATTCAAAAGGTCCGATCACCAATGGCTTTAAAATTAGGGACGAGAGGGGAATGTCTGGACCACTCCATCGCTACAAAAAACAGGGAATCACCTTGACACTGCCCGAGGGAAAGACCTTGAACAACATAAAATGGTTCGCCATATGGTGCGATGACTATTCCGTAAGTGCATGTCAATTATTTCAACCATTACCCGTACACTCTTTATTTTCATTTATCAATAGAACTCGAGTATCGTAACATAACTAACTTTCACGGCGCGTTAATTCCGGTTCTGGGTGTGTGCGCATGTATAGAGAGACGATGGTAAGACCGTAAAATTCCTGTTTCGCTCTCCAAGGTCTTTAAAGTAGAGCGACCGCGAGGTGTGCAGCGGTCTCGGTCTCAATGCCATCGATGGATATTTCCCTCCGGACCTCCGGGTCATCCGTAGAAAGGGAAAGCGATACCACAATTTTTCTCCCCAAAAAATCACCATTTCCTCATCACTTTATCTCAATCCCCAGGTAAATTTTGGAGACGTGAGAATACCTCGGGGTTTTGACTACCCAAAACCGCAGAAGCTGTCACCACTCGATGGAGTTCATCTAGTGAGTTCTGAGCCAGTGGTCGTTGTAGACGCTCAAACACTCCTGGTACCGAGTTTCAGTTACGATGGGGAAGCACCAGGTACCATAGCTCCTCTACTTCAAAATATATGACATAATTAAATTTATACGCTTAATTCACTTTTTTACCCTTTCTCTCTTAGCAGTTAATTTCAGAGAAATAACGCTTCAAGTTTCATGACTTTTTTTTCTACAGCGATTTTGTAAAATAGTATGGGCTTTCTTGAATTGCTGTAATTATCTTGGCAATTAATGTGATTCTGTTCGTCTAGACGCGAAATTCTGGGTTGGAGCTGGACCCCACCCATCCTCCCAGGGTGTACGTGTGCCAGATGAAAATGGAAAAATGAGCCCACTGCGTCGATACGACAGAAAAACCATCGTCCTGACGCTACCTGGTGATCTCACTGTTCACCAGCTCGGCCACTTTGGGGTCTGGTGCGAGGCATTCACCGTTGACTTTGGGCACATTCAAATTCCTCAGGCTCTCAATATTCCACCGTCCCTCAAGATGCTGGGTGTTTCGCCTCAGGTAATGTGACATTGTTGTAACTCGTGCACTTCCCTCGGGTGATGACGGTAACTCAACTAAAAGGTGTTCAGGGATGTTTCAAGGCGCACCGAGAGACGGATCAAAGGCAAATCCTTCTTTTTACCCTTGAATGTGTCACTTTGCGCGTTGCGTTTCACTGAGAGTGCAAAGGACTCTTGGAAATTCTAGAACCACCCAACCAATGACCTTATTTCACTGAATTATGCACTTGCCTTTTCATTTCCCTGTGTTATTCCCCTCTGTTACGGGAGAACTCAAATCCCCAAGAGTATAACGAAAAAATAATGATATTTAATAACAGCAGGTACGTGTCAAGATTTTTCACTAAAATTTCCACTATATTCATTCATTCGTTCATTATTTTTTACCCGACGGAAGCGAAACTATTCTTGATCGTTTTTGCCCGCAACTCAATATCCCAAACGTGAGAGGGAGAGAAGAAAAAATAAAAATGTAGAATAGGGGCTGGACAATGGATACAAGGAGAAATAAAAGTGAAGAGCGCCTCGCAGACTTTCCGGACCTTGTTTCCCACGAAAAATACAAATAAAAAAATCAAAATGAAATAGATTTAAATGAAAAGAACAGGAAAAGAATGCCGGTTTAACCTCCTGTCTCTGTCCTTGTTGTTGCAGAGGATTAAACAGGGACAGGGTGATCCGGAGCTCGAGGCGTTCTTCGCGCAATCTTCCTCACCCACTGCCGTCTCAACTCCGTCAACTTCTGCATCTTCGTCTTCCTCCTCATCGCTGACACACCAAAATCAACGTCCAACAACCTATCGTCCACTGCGTCGTGATGATCGTGTACAAGTCGTTCAGGCTATTGACTATCGTGTGCCAAAGAGTATTGTCGACTATCGGTTTTCCAAGCTATCGAATCACGATAATTCTCAACAGCCGCAATCTTATGCCCGACTCGTGAGAATCGAGGGTGACCGAAGGGTCGATTCATTCGTGACTTATTAAAACAGTCCGTCAGCAAAAAAAAAAAAAAAAAAGACCAATTAAGACAAGTCACCCCCCGACTACTTAACGATTGAGGACTCAATTTTATCGACCGCTCTCGCAACCAAAATTAAAGTGCGATAAGTATAAAAATTAATTAATCAGACAAACTGATAAAATCTCAGTTGAGCACTTCGTTAGTGATATATATTCACAAGGTCGAAGATTGAGTCTTATTTATTCGATGTGAGATGAGGGGCTGTATTTATTAGAGATATAGAATTCATATAATCTATGTAAGAGCACTATAGGCTTGACAGAGTGGCACGCGAAACATCCCGTTGTACATGCGCATAATCGTTGGGATGAAGCCCAAGCACGTAGGGCATACAGGAGGGATGTCATATATGCACCAACACGTATCCCTCTTCCCTTTATTCCCGTTGCTATACAATCTCAAGCACAGAAATGCCTGTGCGACACCTTTGATTATGCGCTTTGTACCCACGTTGGTAAATTGAAATGTCTTCTGGATGATGGGCGAAAGAGCCGCAAACGAAAGAGGGGAATGGAGAAAGGAATATTGTCAACTAATGAAGAGAGCTGTGATACAAGAGGGCAGATACTATTGAAAGGGGGATTATCGAACTCGCACTCAGCCAGTTTCATCATTTTTTTTTTTTATTTTCCTGTCCCGAAGCTTTAGTTGTAACAGAGTTTTATTTTTTTATTTCACCACTGGACGTATGCATAACGCACCTGGTACCTGCATTTTTTTGTATTTTTTTGTATCGTATCTCCTGACCCTGAATAAAGTGTCCATTTTACCGCAAAAAAATAATGGTATTTTCAAATATCATTCTCGTTAAACTTGAGCGCACGGCTTTTCATTTAGTTTCATTGCATCATTTTGAATTGATGTTTCGGTGGATTTCGAAATTGAGCCGTAAGATGTAATTTTGTTTTATTACAGTCGAAACTAAACTGCGAGGTACTCGAGGATAACTTGGCCTTCGAGGTGAGGTGGGCTGTAGCTGGAGACAGTATCGTTGTTCAACTCGTTGGAAAACTCGGTAAGTTCAGTCCCACAGTTCAATTCTACACGTAGGGTATATCTGCAGTGAGCATCACTTCTCTGCCAAAAAGTTTGTGTTCAATGACTTTTGAAAGGTGAACACGGTAGGGGAAAAAGAGCACCGGAAGTTATACCGGTTTAGGAAGAAGAGCCATCGATTCGACGCTATTTTTCTCGAGAGAGAGAGTCTTCGGGGAGGCGGCATACGCCAACCCGACAAGACCATGAAACATTGTAAAAGATTCAACGTGAGACTTGTCGAGTTCTCCAAACGGCTTGGAAAGAAAAAGAAGTGAAAGTTATAGGGGCGGTGAGGGGTCCGAAAAAGCTAAATTTATGGTTCAAGTCCGACTGAAAATCCTACAAAGAGATTTTCCGTCGATTGAACGTGGCATGCACACGAGTGTTAAACCGTTTTTCAATGGACAAGAGAAATGATTTTTATCACAAGCTATCCTCAACCATAGCACGTTGATAACATAATAAATACGATCTTGTAAACGTCAGGTTTCATTGCGAAATGCGCTGGCTCGGGAGAGAAAGGTGATACCTGCATCGAGTTTATACTGTTCCCACATCGCAAGTAAAAGTAATCCTTTCCCCTTCTGCGAATATTTCTCACACCCACAACACACTCGGGAAATTATTTTTCAATTCTACGGTAAAACAACTTGCAATTTAATGAATCTCCAATTTTTTTAAACCATCAATCATCATTCACCATGAAAACAATAAATCGCATTATTTTCCCGAGATTAATAATAGGTTTTACAAACGATTTGTTATGAAATTGGATAAAAACTGAGGAAATTGAGAAGTCAGATGGTACCGGTATAACTGTAAGATGAAAAAAAATCTAACACTGCAGTGAATTTAAACAGAAAAACGTCGATACGTACGAATTAGTCGGCCTCCATTCAATATATCCAAGTAGATCGTGAAAACGATAACGGTCAACAAAATTTTATGGTTCAACTGCGATTTCGACGGCGTTTACGATCTCGCCAGGCGTCCGAATTTTCACGCTGACGGGCGTAAACTCTGGCAAAAATATGAAAAATTTTGATGGACCGGAGACGATTGAAATTGAAATACTGTCCTCAGATGGTGGACAGTACATGTCATTCGGACTGTCGGCAAATATGGATCGCAGTGTGATGGTAGGTGGTGACGTCGTGGTAGCATGGGTGGATAAGCAAACCCTGCAGGGCTACGCGGTGGATTACTTCCTCGATGCCAAGTCCCAGTGCTCCGGAGGTCGTGGCAACTGTCCCGACACACGTATCCAGGAGAACACCAATTCTGTTCGTCTCCTTAACGCTGCAATGGTCAATGGCTACAGTATAGTGACCTATCAACGACCACTTGGCGCTTCCGATGAGTTGGACAGGCAGATTCGCACCAACGGCTCCCAAGCAATCATCTGGGCCATTGGTCCGCTCAACGAGAGGAACGAGGTCAGCTACCACTCTCACTACCTCAAGACCGATAGATTCATCGAATTCGGGAGGCCACCCTCCTGGAATTGTCCAATGCCCGAGATGGACCAGAGCCACACACCCCACGAGGACATACCCAATAAAGGGAGTAACAAGCAAGAGCTGGTGGTGACAACTCGTAGACCATCGAGACCTCCAGCGACACCCGCACCAGCAGCTACAACTGACGCTTGGGAAATTCCACCAATTCAGTGCAACGAACCTGACGATGGAGTTTTTTACGCCCAGCTGGGACCCACCGGAGGCAAGCACGGATACCCGGCCATTACTGGTAATTTATTTCCTCAAGCTTCTCCTTCTCCTCATTTTTTTTTTTAACTTCCTCGGTTGATGTAATCCTCCAACTCTCCTCAGGGCACGTTGGCTGGGGAATATCTTGGTACATCAATGGGCTTCTCATCCCGGAGATTAACGTTATCAGAGGAAAAACATACACTTTCGTCGTCGAAGGGGGTGACGATCCCGAGACCCCGGCGGTTTATCATCCCTTCTATATTACTGATGATCCCATCGGTGGATATGCACACAAAACCCCGGAGGAAAAATCGGTAAGTAATGGCAATCATTAAGACCTATTCCTCAACACACAGGATAAATAAAATTCCTATTCATCATTCTGCAGCAAGTGAAAATTTTCGCTGGTGTACGTCGACAAAGGGGGACAGTAGTGCCCACGGGATACGGAAGACTCTGTCGATGGGTGCACGATGAAAATTCACCAGAGGCCGACGAATACACGTCGTTCGGTGCTTTCCAGAGAACACTCTCCCTCAAATGCAATCCTGGGGAGCCAGGGATCATTCAATGGACACCCGACAAGAATACTCCAGACGCTGTTTACTATCAAGTACTAAAAGTCCTATCTTCACCAAAATGTCCATTTTTTTTCTTCATGATAATAAAAATCTATGATTTTCCTCTCTTCGCAGTGCTTCACCCACCGCTACTTGGGCTGGAAGATAAACGTGCTGGACAGCTGCGACTTCCAGGGATCGGCTAGTGAAAATCACGAGATATATGCCCGTCCAGAGGCGACAGGTGAACAATCAGGGGATTTGGATGGTGCTAGCAGTATCGGTATAGCCAGCAAGGTAACACCAGCCCCAGATTTCTACCAGGCCCACCAGAATTATGGTACGCTACGGCCGCCCCACAATTATCACCATTATCACAATTATCATACTGCTATGTCGCCTCAAAAGCTTATACATTCGCCTCAACCGCCTCAACCGCCTCAACCACCTCAACTAACCCGTCCTTCACTGTATCCCCGTGATACGTACGAACGCTTGCAATTGTCGCATTTGGATGCGCCTCGTCCCCATTACGTAATTTCGCATCATCATAATAATCATCCCAAGGAGGTACAGCGTCACCAAGTGCTTCCATTAATGCGTCATCATATCGAGCATGCAACAGCATCATCCTTAATACCTCAACACGTGAGTGGCTATTACCGTGAAATACAATCTCCCCAGGGTTGGCAGACACCAGTGTCAGATCAGGACGTTCAGCAGTCCCAAGTGGCACAAATTCACGCCTCTAATTCACAATCTAACTCCCTTGCAGATCAACGACCCTTCAGCTACGTCAATATGAAATATCAACTGCCCCATCACAATCCATCGTACATTTATTCGAGAACACCCGTGAGTAAACAAACTCAGGTGATGATTGTTAGGCGACCAGGGAAACGACCGATTCCACAGGCAATACCACCCGAACTTCCTAGGTTCATGGAGAGAAAAAAGGCGGTTTATCGGCCGCTCAAGACTCCACAGACCACGAAATTAACGAAAATTGATAAACAGAGAGCGAAAATCGAGTCTAAAATATCGTCGGAGATCGATTCGGGGAGTGTTAAGCCAGCGAGAAATACTGGATTTGATCCAGGCTCCATCGTCATTGAGGGCGGGTTCAAGCCGATAATTCGAAGTGTAGATCGTGAGGATCAAGTGGTCAGGGGTCAGGATTATTGGACTTATCAGTGGGGTGAACCAAAGACGAGTGGTGATGAGAAGCAAGAGACATTTGAGCCAGTTTATCTTGGCTCAGTTGGCAATGACGTCAATCTTGGTAAGTTTCAACCTGACAAAGTTAAACAGAGACTCGATGAAATCGATGATATGGAAATGGCTGCTGACGGGTTGGATGCCTATTATTTACCACCTCCCAACGGTGGATTGACGACTAAACGAATTGATGATCGATTAACCGGTACATTGATTGCTTTTGATGGCAAGAGGGTCAAGGACTCGAGCCTCACCAGATCCATTCCCACCAGGGTCGATGACCAGCCACGTAATCCCACGGGAAAACTCTCCGATGTACTTACCAGGACACCCCAGTTTGGCAAATTCAGAGGTGAATTGCCGCCTTTAATCCCCAGAGATGGTAGAGCAGTTGAGCTTCATACCACCAAGTTGAAGGCTAAAAGAACCAGGAGATCGTCAAATGGAGATCTCATTAGTCAGAATGCCACTCACCATGATCACTCGACTTTGGCAAGCACTGGCCAAATCATCATCACCAACATTGAGTACGTCGTTCTAACAGTCATTCTTTATTTTGTTATTTAATCCCAATTCCCAATACACGCATGAAAAAATGCATACGTGTTTAATTCTCCTCGTTGTCAAAATTTTTATTTCCTTTGAATAATGAACATCGCATCGTACCAAATCGATCGATTCATCGCTTCTGCTCAATAACTGCATAACAGAATATTATCAGCAATCTGTTCAACATCAATTCCACACTTTCCTCTCCATGTCGTGGTTATCGGCATTATTTATCTGTCTAGAGAATAAGTCTTATCGTTTTATATCCTCACAACTCGTTTCTCGTTGCAACGGTGGATTTTCAGAATTCAGATTGTCTCATACTCTTACTCATACGATTTCACATTATCATGATAATTCAGTTTATTTTCATATATAGAAGACGAAAAAACGATTGTTAAGTATGCAAGCGTATGTACATAGATTAATTAGCCTGTTATAATTGATAGAATGTATTCTGATTGAGAGATTAAACTTTTAGACCAAATACTCTGGTAAATGAATAATTTATTAATGTGACGATTAATTAGAATTTTCTTCGCCATAAGAATCATCCTCCTCACTCGCCTCGTAGTCATATTCGCTGTATTCCCCTGACCGTTGACTCTGATTTCCCCACGTCGAGCATTCAGGATCAATAGCCGACGTTTCTCTACAACTCGATTCATTGGAGTGTAAAGCTAGTCCCACTGGGATTTCAGGGGAAGAAATATTTGCATAGACAGTCAAATTTGAAATATCTCAAACCTCTTCTGAGGGTGGAAGGAGAGTGCTCGCTTCAAATCCACATTTATCAGCAATTTCTGTTGGACAGCTATTGCACTTGATCGCCGCTATCGAGATAACAAACCCAAACGACCGATAACGGTCAATGTTTCTCGTTAAATACTCCCAAACTGTTCGTCTCTCTCTCTCTCTTCTTGCACTCGTCAATTCGAAAACTTTTATGAAATTAATTTGCCCTGAGAATTACAAATAGACTCATTACGAGGATAACGTGCAGAGTAGTGTGAATTATGTCGAATCACTCTGTAATCGCCAACGTAAAAAATTCTAGTGGCAGTAATACTAAATAGCCGCCTCGATAGCCTTATCGCCATTCTTTCATTGACCATCCCCCAAAGGTTTCGATAAGACGACAATCAATAAACCGAATGAGCTGAAACCTTGCAATTCCATTTCACTATGTTTTTTATTATAGAAAAAGAAAAGGAAAACAAAAGTCTTAACTACTGTACAGAATAGCAAGCCATTTTCCAATTGTGCTCACTGGTATTTTTAATATTAAAAAATTGTTATAAATTCATGATTCAACAAAGTCTGGGGGCAGTGCCACACATTTCTACAAAATATCATCATCGATTAAGTACTCATTTTCTCAGTACATTGGAAATTTCGAAGATGATGAGACCCCATAGAATTGTCACGCTAGCAATTTCAATGTCCGGAGATCGAGAAAATTATTACAATTTATTTAATTTACACAAAAGTGATTAAATATCCTCATCAAAGTGTATCTATCTCAATTATTTACATGTCCAATACATGTTTCTGCTCGTTGCGCAATCCTCCCCCGATATTCGGGAATTATGGAAATTGGTCTCGTTGGCGTTAATTACCCACCACAATCCCAAACCGAAGAAAAAAAAACGGAATAAAAAATACAAAGAAACTTAAAAGGGGGATCATTAATTAATGAACACAGTATTAAATTGAACTGGACGAGAGAAGCGCATCAATGAGCATAATTAAGCTGTTACAATTTGTTTCATTTATTGCAGCTAGACTACAGGTTGATGCCACACAATTTTTCCACTTAAACATCCAGAGACAAGGAGACAGTGCCTCGGTGAGAATTTCGTGCTCAGTACGATATCCGAGTGACTGATATTGGTGGCTAGTTCAAAGAGTTGCTGAGACTCGTTGATTGAAGGAACACAGTTGGAGAGCTCCTGGCACTCGTTGGAGAAGGCGAGGAGACGTACACCGTAGCCAAAGGGTGAGCAGATGAGCCTGCCATCAGCGGAGAAGCACAGCTCCTTGATATAGCCTGAGCCCACATTGGGCTCTTCAATGTAATGGGTTAACCTCGAGATATTCTGATGGATTTTATGATTCCTAGGGATTGCGTACATGGGCTGCTGCCCCTGACGAATTTGACTCTGCGGTCTTCCTCGATCTCCCAGAATAACGACAGTGTGCGAGCCTCTTGGTGGAATACTAACACTCACACCACCACTCGATCTCCTCAACCAATTTCTAGTGTCACTCGTCGTGTAGAATTCTCTTTCTCTCTCTCTCCTCGACCTTGCCTCCCTAATGGCCACTAGAGCCTCCCAAACGTCACTCGAGCTTACGTGCAATTCCACGTTGGCTGTTGGAAAATTCCCATTGTCCAGCATATTCCTACGTCTGATGTAGTTCAACTGGGAGCTCCCTCGAGGCACTCTGTGGTCCTGATCCTCGCGCTCCGGCTGCTGATCCTCAGCCAGTGGCTCCTGTCTACTGTCTTCTGCATTTGGCCTATCACTCGCATTATCAATACTTGAGCTGATTTCTACTATTCCAGCATTCGTTCTCATGAGATTCCTGTGCCGTGGACGACTGGAATTGAGGTTCGAACGCACATTGATGCGCCAGTAGTTAGTTCTGGAGGGACGAGGTGGCTGGGCTGCATCAGTGGATACAAATGAGTTGGAGCGGACGTCCGACATCGTCTGGACAATTCTCGCACGGTTGGCACTGTCGATCACGAAAGACGAGGTGATTCCTGAGCGCGAGGGTTGTGGCTGGGAAGATACCTCGAAGTCTTCAGTGGTGTCGTTCGAGGAGGGGACTGAGTCCTCCTCGTTCTGATTTTTTGAAGTGTCAGGTGCATCTCGCTCCTGGATATCGTGGATGCAAGTCCACTCTGATTTTTCACCATTACTAACATTCCTAGAGAGGGCACACCAGCCCTGGGGATGCACTTGAAGACTCGATATAACTTCAGCATCATCTCCCACAGGGAAATCCGTGAGGAATTCCACTCGGTTGTGCTCTCGAGAGTGTGAGAATAAATGTGTAAAACTTGCAGCAACCGGTATTGTTGTCTGAGACAGTTGCATAAGACGATACATGTTGGGCTTGAATCCTGCCAGATCCTGAGTCAGTGTGCTCAACTTGAGATTGTGAATGATAATCAGATAACCGGATGTCGTGCATATGAGCATCTTGGATGCGTCCGGCGTGAGTCTTGTTCGCATAAGACCGTTTGTGTGGAATACGCGATTGTAGAAAAAACTGTTCTCGGTGTAACTGTTTATGTCCCACGTGTATATGCTGCCATCAAAGTCACTGGTAAGAAGTAATCCATCGTTGGGGCTGTACTCTATGTTTTTGACCCAGTTCGAATGACCCTGGAGGGTTCTTATACGATGTTTGAGATTTCGCGCATCCCATAAGGCTACTGTGCTGTCGTCTGAGCAGGTGGCAAACATTCGTTGATCCAGAAATCTTGTATAAATGACGAAGAAACGACATCATTATTTATTCGAAAAATCTTTCGAGCATTTAAACAGTAGGATAGACATGTACTACTCAGGTATTTAAAAATCTCCATAATCAATTACCTGGCACAATTAACACAGTCATTGTGAGCATTATCTATCGCATGGACCAGACGTCTGCACAGTGGATCGAACATCAAGATGCTCTTCTTCTCGCAGACTGCAACGAGAAGAGATCTAGAAGCAGGAGAGACGAGAGTTCCAGGATTAATAACATAACAGGAATTTGAACATTTTAATTTAAACTAATTGCTCACCCATCAGGGGAAAATTCTAAATTGAATACACCTCCATGCATGGCGTTGCAAAGATTCTCCCCATGATCCCATGATGTAACTGGCTGTATCGAAGAGTACAGGGTCTTGAAAAAGCGATCACTGTGCCCAAGAGGTGGATTAATCCCCATCTCTCTGTTTTGGAGCCACATTCCTCCATGTGACCCCAAATGTCTCATCCTTATTTTCGGCATTATTCAAATAACTCCTCTCCTCGTCCTCTTGTCTATAAAATTTTCCCAGAATTGCACCAGTCGTTTTCACTTATCACACGAGGAAAATCGAGTACCAGAGTAAATAACCAGTGTTTTCAACATAACTAGTAATTTTTCTAAATTCTTTATTCCCACGCAATAAACTTGTATATTATTTCTTTATTTAAACATCAGTTCAAGGTTCAATCCAACTTAGGTTATGCATTTGTCAAATAAAGTCTCAACTGGTTTCGGAGCAAATAGGTTATATTATTCTATTCCACTGCACTCTTGATACGACTAGATACGTCGGAGATAGTTTTTATTACTCCCATTCATTGATGAATAATCATTTATAAATTGCACGAGGTCACTTATTAGTCAGGTAATGGAATAAATAGGTATTTCTCTGTCTCAACAATTCCTTGTCGTCAAAAATGTTTCAAAATCCTGACAGAGAACATAAATGCACGCCATCTTTGACCTCGGTGTGCAGTGCTGGCGTTGTGTTGGTACATTTTACATCAAACGACCTCCACTGTTATTCATTTGAATGCGACTTGTTTGTATGTTTATTTTTTCAACAATCAGGAAATGTGCGACAACAATGGCAAAAAAAGACTAATTATTTCAAGTGTCGTGTAATGAGTGAATAATGCAAGATCATTTGAATATTTTTAATAGCAACGATTACATAGAAAAATGTATAGGATGTATATTTCAACGGTTTTCAATCAATTATTATTAACATCGAACTTGAGGCCTGTCCCTTTGGTATTCCTCTCGGTCCACTCATCGAATCTTAAAGATAAATCTTCGTTCATGTGATTCCTCCAGTCACCAACTTTGCCCTTGCGAATGAACTTCATGTCGTTATTCTTTGTCAAGATGCTTTCCAAGTTTATTGCAGGATTCGCTGCCATTCTGGAGAATTCCAGGTGCTTAGATAATCCTTCTGCTTGCTCTGGAGTTACTGTTTTCTCCAGAAAATTCGCGGTTTTCATGATCGCTGCCAGTTGGTCTTTTTTCATTTCTTCGTAGGTGAGAAAGAGAATGTGGTCCTCGTGCCGCCGATTCCAGAAGCCCAGGACGTGCTTCCAGAAAGGACCCATCGGTGCTGAATGCAAGTAATTCTCAAATTTCAACAAAATTGGAAAGCAAACAGAAATGGTTTTGGCAGAATGAAAGATGTACGGTTTTTACCATTGTCTTCTAACATCAGATCGGCAAATTCCTCGAATGTTCCCTCCAAGTCATGCATGAGTTTGCAGTAATGATAAAAACTTACGCAAGTATCTTTTGGATTTCTGGCAATGTAAACAAACTGTAGGGCATATGTGATATTTATTGCCTTTAATTTGTTGTCATTTGTTTGAACTCTCACCTTTGGTTTTTTCTTGCAGATTTCGAGAGGCAGTAGCCCCCAGGGTAGATGGCTCTTCACGTACCGCGGCCGAGCGGTTTTTTCCACATTTTCCACGGAATTTCCAAATTGCGAAAAGAAATCGACATACTGACCTGTTACCATCAGTGCTGAGGATCTGAATAAGATGAAAAATGAATAATTTTCATTGTGTGCTTATAATTTTGAGACTCACTCTAAAAGAGGATTACGAATCAGTAAAGGAATTTTCGCACTCTCGTAGTTGAGGTCATTTCCGATACACCATACCATCTCCTGGGCCCAGTGACTACCTTTTGGGGAAATCGCATATTCTTGAAAAAATTGAATGAAAAAATTCAATACAATTTGAGTTTCATTGTACCTGTGCGGGGATAGGACACAAGCCAAACATCGTCTTCATAAATCTCCATGTCTCGAATTTTCGGTCCCAGGAAGACGAACTGCGGGGGTAGGAGACAGTGTGAGGGTTCCACCCTCAGGAAACTAGATTTCACTCCGTACATTTTATCGAGTCTAGCACCAACATTCCCGTCAATTGTTGTGAAAGTCAGTTGCGTCATCTTTCTTATAGCACAATTTATTTATTCAGTCAAAAAAACATTTGTTTAATAAAATAACACCGATTGGAAATTAGTCGGATAATTTTATCAAGATCTTCACGACATTGAACTAAGTGATATTATTCCGAGTGCATTGGAGAACTGCGGAGAGTGCAATGGACAATCATAAAATACTTTCATCGTATGCATTTCACAAGTGAAAGTTGTTTGCACAACGTAGTTTCCAAGCGAATATTTTTTTCGCCGACAGGAACATTATGTCGCGTGGAATTTTCCACTGAAGATTATAACAGGATATAAAAATGGAACAAATATCAAAACAATTTGCATTAAAACCAGGTCAGAGGGGTTTTTTCACTCGCCGTGATTTTTTTACTAGGATTATCTCTCCCGATTATTATTCACCCCGGGGCCCTGAGACCTCATAGCATACATGTCATAAATAATGCCCTTTGATTCCAATCTAAAATCACAAGTTTTTAATTTACATTGAATTAAATCGCAACCACCGAATCGTGGAGTTGGCGTATGTTCAAATTAGCGCGTTTTCTCAAGCTCCCTCTATCCTAGAAATCCCGTGCGCACTTGAATATTATTTACAAGTCTGCAATCCTAATTAAAAAAATGATAATCACTTTGTGCATCTCTGATGATTGTGTGAATCAAATCAATTCTCATTATCGTAGCCAAAGAGGATTGACTAAAGTAGAGGCACAGTTCTGGAGATAATCTTTGTCTGGAGGGTTGAGTGACCCCAGCGGCATCGTAGTACTGCACCCCAAGAGAGGGAGGGCGCCACACGCGATGCTGGGGTGTTTTTTTTTATTAACCAAGTTTTTATTGCAATGCTGGGGTGTCCATCAAGTCGACGGGGTGAATTTTATTTTCTGCGGTATCAATGCTTTTTGTTTTTTATTTTTTTTACTGAAATTTAGCCGACTGTAGAACGAGCGGAAGGGGGAAGCCACATCTTGT